TGTACATTTGTAAAATAAATATGGTGCTATATACAGTTGTTAAATATATATATATATATATATATATATTGCACATTATGTTATGAAATATTGCATATGGTGTATATATTTTTCATTTTTAGACTATATTTTGTGTTATATTTTGTGATATTCTTATTTTGTGATTCTTATTGTACTCTTTGCACTACAATGATTCCACTATGCTGCTGTGTTTGATTTGAATTTATCCTACGGGGGATCAATAAAGGTACAGGTTATGTTATTGTTTCTGACCCCTCATGCTGACTTATTATAGGGGAGTTGACGTCTCCTGACTATGCTGGTCACATGACTACTCCTATCTTGCTGGCAGACTGGTTTAAGTGTCTTGATAAGGCAGCTTGATCTAATGTTAGTTAGTCAACGAGCTACTAAAAATAATCAAAGCCTACTTAAGCTTGTAAAGTCACCATCATCAGCTGCTTATGCTTTAATTTGAACAGCTCTCTCTCTTGCGTGCTCATCACAAGACTGTCTGTGTTTACTTGTGTGATATTTACATTAATTGCTCCTCTTCAGAGCAACTGGTTTCACCACCCGATCGGATATCGGTCCTGCTCGTGATGCCAACGATCCAGTGGATGACCGACATGCACCCCCAGGGAAGAGGACGGTTGGGGACCAAATGAAAAAGAACCAGGATGATGATGATGAGGATCTGAACGACACAAACTATGATGAGGTGCCTATGACTGGACTGTTTCTGGCTGGTTATTTCTTGTTTGTTTGTTGTAGGGATGTTTGCAAGGACTTCCTTCATCCATTCACGATTCAAAGTTGTAATGATAATTCATTCATGACGATTCTGATCACATTTTGCTGCCTTTTTTTCTTGTAGTTTAATGGATACGCAGGGAGCTTGTTCTCCAGCGGGCCCTATGAGAAGGATGATGAAGAAGCAGATGCTATATATGCAGCACTGGACAAGAGGATGGATGAAAGACGCAAAGAAAGAAGGTGAATAAAACATTTATCTATTTTCCCACTTGGTTTTTCAGAAACAGTATACCCCTCCCAAGTTTTACACGTTGAGCCTCATGCAAGAACCACTCGTAGGAGTCATATGCAGTTATTCTGCTGTTATCCAAATATTTATTTTCCCTAAAGGAATGTATACTGCATTACTACAAAGCATATTTGAAACTACACTTCTTAATTACGTTGGCATTTTGGTCGTCCACTAATTGGAAGGTTGTTGTTTCGATTCCCGGCTCCTCCCCGCATGTCGAAGTGTCCTTGAGCAAGATACTGAGCCCCAGAGTTAGTTTGTGTTCGATGGGCTTTGCCATCACTGTGTGAATGTGTGTGAAAGGGAAGACTAGAATGGCGCCATACAAGTACAGTCCATTTACCATTTACATTCTGTTTGACCAAACAGTTGTATAATATAATAATTATAGCTTCATCGTTAATTTAAACTGGGTATTGATGGGGTAAGGGTTCTCTTCACATTAAGTTGTGTATAGGTTGCTGTCCAGGGGAACATCCTCTCTCTGTCGTGGCTCGTATTCTTTCTTCTATGTCTGTGATGTCGATTTGCCCTTGACTCCCTCTTCTTGCGGTTATCGATCGCCTTGCTTTTCATTCAACAGTTAACAGGTGACACAACGTTAACAGCACTCATTATTTTTTCATATATATTTTCCTACTAATTGGCTTTAGCAGGTCCTTTACTTCCACAGCTGACGCTTTTAAAAACGCTTTTCCTGTGTTGAACTCCCAAGAGCGGTACATCAATCTCTAAACTTAGTGTAGATCTTCCTTTTACTCTTCCTTATAATTTTCATGAATGAACTTCCTAACACATGGGGCAGGCAGTGTAGCCTTATGTGGTATTACCGGGCATTAGTTAGACAGATTTTCTATTTTCATGAACGTGCGCTCCATTACTCACAGGTGACATTCATCATTTTCACATAGGTGATTTACACATAATTCTAAAGTTAGGAGCGTTTGCTGAATCTGACATGGAAGAGAAAGTTCAGATATGAATACAAAAATGTTGTTGCATGAGGCCCATTGTTTTCATGTCGTACATTCTGTGCACTCGATACAGCAGAGATGTGTAATTTTGAATGCTGTCTTGTGTGTTTTCAGGGAGCTGAGAGAAAAGGAAGAAATTGAGAAATACCGTATGGAGCGACCCAAAATCCAGCAGCAGTTCTCAGATCTAAAGGTACAAAAGTGCACATGATACACCCAACTACTGCCTTTCTTTTCCACCTGTGATTACATTTAAATTTCCTTTGCTGTCCTCTTGTTACAACTGTCTTTGAACATTTTATAGATGATATTTTATCACTGTTTGTTGAGAAACCATATCTTCCCAACCTATGAAAATCACTCCAATTGTATTGTACATTGACAAGACAGCAACGGTATGCTGCTATGAGTCTGTTATTAGGAAACCACGTCTCTTTGTGTAATCAATTAAAGGAGGGGAAAGCCACACACTGATAACATTTATGAAATGTTCTTATTTTAAATTTTACAGATTAACCTTTCAGCACATCTTGCCTTCTTAAGCACTTAAAATGATTCTCTGCTGACATACCAGCTTAGGCCACATATTTTTTTCATCCTGTTTTATTCTTTCTTTTTATCTCTTCACAGAGGAAGTTGGCAGAGGTGTCAGAGGAGGAGTGGCTGAGTATCCCTGAGGTGGGAGATGCCAGGAATAAGCGCCAGAGAAATCCCCGCTATGAGAAACTCACCCCTGTCCCCGACAGCTTCTTCTCAAAACACCTGCAGACCGGAGAGAATCACACCACTGTTGACCCTCTGCAAGGGGTCAGTATACATACAAACACTTACTAACATAGTGTAGACATCCTCATAAAAGCACATGATGTAGTTTCCGCTTGCACCAGCAGGAGTCAGGATATGTTACTGGAAACAAGCAAATCATTTCACCTGTACACTTTATGCAGTTTGCAAGTTGCATGCAGTCATGTTATCTCACCAGACCCCCTTGTACAGTGTGGAAAACATCACAGCAATGTTTTGTTAGATACCAAGATTAAGAATGAAAATAAATGTTTGACATGTTGTAGAGAAAGCATAAATAAACGTTTTGTAACTGGAAACAGACACATATTTCTGCTGATATTGATCACATCACCTCTCCTGGCACTTAAAATATACAAGTAAGGCAACTTGAATGGTCTGATTCATTGTACATGGCAGCTGTATGCATTACACACTACCTGCATGGAAAAGAAATTGGAAACATTCACTACCCAGTATTGTTCAGTCTTGCAGCGCATGAGAGTCTTGTTCACACTTTTTCACAGGTATCGTTTACAAAGGCGAGAAAAGTGTCATATGATCTAGGTCTATGTTTCATAAGCCTCTTAACTATGCCGTAACAAAATTCTCACAGAGTGTAATGCTCCTCTCCATTATCATTGTTTCTTCCCTCCACTAGCTGGGAGGTCTGAACACACCTTACCCAGGAAGCATGACCCCCGGCTTGATGACACCAGGGACAGGAGAACTGGACATGAGGAAAATCGGACAGGCTAGGAACACACTCATGGATATGAGGCTCAGCCAGGTAACCAATGATCATCCTCTGCCCCGTTATATCATTCATACTTCACTGTCATTATCCTGATACACAGGTTTTATTATTTTATTTAACCTGTGTCTGCCTTTTATCTATCTTCAGGTGTCTGACTCAGTGAGCGGACAGACGGTGGTGGATCCTAAGGGTTACCTGACAGATCTCAACTCCATGATCCCCACACATGGAGGCGACATCAGGTAGAGACACAGGACGTTCTGAGGGTGTATTTGTGTTGAATAAGTTGCTGTCGTTGTGTGTGCGTGTCTGATTATAAATTTGGCTCTGCATGTCCAGTGACATCAAGAAGGCTCGTCTGCTACTGAAATCTGTGCGGGAGACTAATCCTCATCACCCGCCCGCCTGGATTGCTTCTGCCAGGCTGGAGGAGGTGACCGGCAAACTGCAGGTGGCCAGGAACCTGATCATGAAAGGCACAGAGATGTGTGTTAAGGTAAATGATGATAGACACAGATACAGTATGTGTTATTAGCTCATCCAGACCATAAGCTTGAGAAAAGTTTCTTTATTTGTTTGTTATTGGTTGATGATATACACTTTTGCTTTGAGGAAGAAGCAAATTAAACTTAGAACATGAATGATGAATAACACTCCTTTCAATCTGGTTTGATAGGTGTTTAGTAAAATTACAAAATACTGTCCTGCTAAAGCTTCAAAAGTCTTCCGATCGCTGCACTGTTCACAACTACACAACTTTCTGTCTTGTAATCGTGATTCTTTGAGTAATCCAAGAGTCTGTCTGGCACATCACAAGCACATCGTGTTCTTTTAGGAAAGTAGTTTATAAAAAACTAAACCCCTTTCATCTCTATCTTCAGCTGTCCAATCCAATAAAGGAAAGCCCCTCCAAAAAATAAAATAAATAAAGAAATATATATATATATATAAAAAAATAGAGAAAAAAACATGCACAACATGCGGTTTCTGTGGTGGTGACAAAATGTTAAAAAATATACATATTAGCAGTTTTAATTAAACTAAAAAATCACTGTGCCAAACTTAATTTAAGAAATATAACATTTTAACAATTCCTTACGTGTCCGTCACAAGACAAAACTCTAGAAACACAAGCTAAAGAGCATTGTTTTAATTGTTAATATAATCCATAAAAAGAAACTGTACAAACTTTCCATTTTGTTGCCTCAGCTCACTCAGCCTCCGTTATAGCTGCACTCTTTCAGTTAAAATATTAAGATTTCTCACTAAAGTAAGCGCTGGTTCGTGGGTCACATACACATTGAACTGAAAACGGACTCATAACAGTGTTAATTCACCAGCTATTGTGTGTGATGTCTTATTCGGAAAAGTTACTAAAGTAACTACTCGGTTCGCTGATTCCGCTGTCTGGTGCTGGAGAGAGACATAAACCTTTGTCTGCTCTCATTGGCTGTAGCTCATTGCATGGCTCCCCGACATGACCAAATATTTAGCCTGCTAGATATTTTTCAGATGTCTGCGAGGCATCAGTGAGCCCTCTTGTAACGTCTTTAAACAGTTCACACATAGCAATCGTTCTCCCAGGATAAAGTGCCCGTTTGCCTCTGTTGACTATTGTTAGCGATCTCCAAAAACTGTCAATGAGTGGAAAGTTTAGCAAAAAACATTCAGTGTAAATTGAATTGCAATGGGGGAAATGGTCCTTGCCCCCCTGTTGATTTAAGCATTTCTCTCTTCCTACCAGAGTGAGGATGTTTGGCTGGAGGCAGCAAGGCTCCAGCCCGGTGACACAGCCAAAGCCGTGGTAGCCCAGGCTGTCCGCCACCTGCCACAGTCTGTCCGCATCTATATCAGAGCTGCAGAGCTGGAGACAGACGTCAGGGCCAAGAAACGAGTTCTCAGGAAGGGTAAGGCTCCCAGATAGTATCAACTTTGTCTTGAAGTAGCTTTTAACTTGCTTTCCTGTATGTGTATATATTTCATCAGATTGTGAGAAAATTGTAATTTGATATTTTCACTAGAGGTGTTATGAGGAGAGTTTTGTGTGTGTCATGATTATCCTGCCAATAGGAAGACACTTAATTTCTGCTGGGCAGTTCAGTACTAGCCTCCATCTGTCCATTGTCTCGTAAAAGAGCCACAACCGCACAGACCTACTCAGTCACTCCCTGAACACACAACATTGCATAAAAGATTGTATAAGCATTACATTTGGCAGCTGTGCTTCTGGCTTTTTGTCAAGGCCAGGCACCCTATTTGAACCATCATGTCAATGCCCTAACGCACACACGCACACACGCACACACACACACACCCCGATATTTCCCAGCAGCATACCCCACTGACAGAGATGGATGGGAAGCTTCCTCTGTGTAAAAGCTTTCTTTGCCTCTACATGTTCAGTTGCCTTTGCTCTACTTATCGCCATCACATACGCAGCCCTCTTCCCACTCAGACGCTATCGAACTTTACTACTGTTACAGTACTAGTCGTTTTTGGTTTAGTTTGTGTATTTTCAGTATTAAAAAATAGTTGTTCATTATTGTGCCAGAATCACCAATTGGTTAAATGTGCAGCCTGTAACGGCAAGGTCCAGGGATTTTTATGTATTTAACAGTAAATTGTCTTAAGATAAACACTTACCTGCTGTTACATGTTATAAGTCACTCAGAAGAAATGTGTCAATAAAATGACTCAGCCGTTTTGTAATTGTTACCCATGTAGCCCTGGAGAATGTATCCAAGTCAGTTCGACTGTGGAAGACGGCTGTTGAGCTGGAGGAGCCAGAGGACGCCAGGATCATGCTTAGCAGAGCTGTGGAGTGTTGCCCTACTAGTGTGGAGGTACGCCATGCCATGCTGTCATTTCATCCCCCAGCAATCAATGATACCATGCATATAGGGCTAACAGGATGCCACACACTACAATGCAACTTATGAACCTTTGCACCTACCTCTAAATCTAACTACTTCTGTCTGTCCTCTCTAGCTGTGGCTAGCATTGGCCCGGTTAGAGACGTACGAGAATGCCCGTCGCGTCCTGAACAAAGCTCGAGAGAACATTCCGACAGATCGCCACATCTGGATCACTGCTGCCAAGTTGGAGGAGGCCAATGGCAACACTCAGATGGTCGATAAGATCATTGACAGAGCTATCACTTCACTACGTGCCAATGGCGTGGAGATCAACAGAGAGCAGTGGATACAGGTGTGTTCCTGCATTTTTTTGTGGTTTCTTTGACATCATAGAGAGAGAGAGAGAGAGAGAGAGAGAGAGAGAGAGCAGGGTTTCCCTGCAGCAGTGTATCACTGAGGGAAACTTGCTCCACAGAATAAATGAGATCCCTAAGGTCGTAAGAAATTAGTATGCTTTCATGATAGGAAATCTCCAAGATAAAAGAGTACATTATTTTAAACAGCAAGGCCCTTATATTTAATGATTGTTTTGATTAGTGCTAGGTATTGTTAAGAACCTCGCGATTTGATTCGATTTTGATTCTTTAGGTCACAATTCGATTCGATATTGATTTAAATGCTTTGATATCGATTCAGTAATAAGTAGAATT